GCGTCCTCGTGGAAGGGTGTCCAAGCCCAGGGTGGGTTCTTCCGGAGGAGGGTGGAGGTAAGGACGTAGGAATACCTAGCGTATCCCCGGATGAAGTTACTATAGTAGCTGGTYAGGCCTAGGAAGCTGCGAAGCTGCTTGGCGGATGTGGGAGCGGGCCACTCCGCAATAGCAGTGATCTTCACGTCGTCCATGTGGAGACCCTGGTCAGACACGTAGTGTCCTAAGAAATCCACTTTGTGCTGGGCAAAGCGGCACTTGCTTAGCTTGGCGTAGAAGCCATGTCTGCGCAAGCGGTCAAGGACTCCGCGGAGGTGTCTGAGGTGCTCCTCAAGGGTACGACTATAGACCAGGATATCGTCAAGGTAGACGAGAACGTACTGCTCCAGGGTGTCCCTGAAGATGTCGCTCATCGCCCTCTGGAAGGTAGCGGGTGCGTTGGTGAGGCCGAATGACATCACCGTGAACTCGTAGTGGCCGAATTGCGATCGGAACGCGGTCTTTGGAACGTCTCTCCTGCAAGTCAAAAGAAACAACCAAGGACTCATGTCGTCAATGAGGCTCGCCTAGCGTTGACGACATCCAAGGAACTTAGGAAGTGCGGGCTCTTCAGAAAACTGGCAGGGGGGTGGGAACTGACAGTAGTGACGACGACCATGTCGGCAAAAGGAAAGACTCATAGAGGATGACGTCACAAGAGCTACATGACTCAGGGGATGAGGGCGAGTGGGTGGGGCCTCACAAGCCCGACGGTGTTCCCGATCCAGTTCAACACTTCTCACCCCTCGGCAGGACGTGCTGTTTCTTTCTCGAATACGATGAGGATGGTTTCACTACGAAACATGTGCATGTTGTTGATGTCGGCGTCACGAGAATCGAACACATTCCACGTGGGAAGATTCTTTATCGCCACTGCTCGTTATCTTAGAATATTATACAAGGCATCGAGAATGTCATCGAAAGTTTCGTTACTAGCGACCCGGGGGCGTGGGATAGGCCTGAGCTCGTCCTTGCACCAATTGATCCGGATGACATTGTGGGCGGACAGAGAAGGTGAATCACGTCGGCCAAATTCTTCATTAGGGACCCTATAGAGTTGTATTGGTACGCCGTCTGTGGTCAGCATACCGCCGAGGTCATGAAACGATTGGTAGCAAAGGGCTCCGCCGCCGCCAAAATGTATGGCCTCTACATATACTCTAAAGTGTGAGTTCTCAACTTCGAAGATGACCAAACATGAGGGTACTTCAATGTTTTCGCCTTCAACAACACATGGGAGAATCGCGCCAGAATGTTGTCCTTCCAAGACGTTGTGCGTGATATAAGGCAATGGTGGATCAATAATGAGAAAATCGAGGTTCCCAAAGTTAAGGTCAATGACCAGGACGATGTTGTCGTTGCGCACTAGAAGTGGCAATACTTCGTAGGGGCCTCTATGAGGAAGCTATGAAACATTCGCGGACGCGTTTGCAGGGTCGAGCTCGGAGGGCGCCCTTGATCACGGCCGCCGCAGCTCTGGCCGCGGTTGGGTGGGGCCGCGACTTTCATGATTTTTTTTAGACTTTAAAAAATTCTCAAAAAAAAAAATAATAATAAAATTGACTTCGTCTTCGAATTTTAAAAATTCAAAAACTAATTTTCCTGAGGCAAAAGCTATTTATTTTTCTTTTCTAAGAAATAACTATGAAACTTATATTTTCTTTTATTTTAAATTCAGTAAAGTTTTTGGCGATGACCACAAGGCAAAAGTTTTTCAATATAGTTTTCTGCATAACAATGTTTTTTTCAAAATTTTTTAAATTCTTTTTTTTTTTTTTTTTTTCATGGTCGCGGGGGCGCGGCCTAAGCTGCAGCCACGACCTAGGCCACACATGGCCGCCTCCGGGGGGGATGCATAGTGGGGAAGGCATGAACGATAGAGCAAGCTAACAAGTATCGTCGCCCGTCACAGGTATGCAACCTTGTCGAGGCCAAGTCCAAAGAGTTCACTTTTTTTTAGCAGAACATCTTACGGAAACTGTTGTCTGCGTATAGAGGACAACGACCAGTTTTAGAAGTCAAAGGCGCAGACGACAGACTGTCCTACACAATATGAATTCCAACACACCTCCACACCTACCTAGTTTTTTATGCGTCAAAGTTGTTGCTTTGTACTACGAGTCGCCAGTTCCCAAGGCGTTCGTGAGGCAGACATTCGAGAACGAGTACAATAAGAATTGGAGTAATAAACTCTTGGGGTATCTAAACCTTGCTACGTTAACCGACACTATGTGACCACTGGTGGAAAGTTTCTCCACAATGTTCGAGGAGGAAAGGCTACCCATTGGCGATGGCAAAATCCCACTTGACATGTCGGGGAGGATGGATAGGCGCATGACATGTTCATACACCGATGAATCCAAGGGACATAGGACACTGTGTCATTGCATCTGCGCAAAAAATGGTCCAAAAGGTTTCACCGTGTCCTGGAAGGATCTGTGTCGTTCATACTTCAAGAACTTTGGGAACATGACATGTCGTGAGAGAGAAGTCGTGTTGCTCGTGCTTATGAAGGGGAAGGTGGTGGCGACGAATGTCAAAGTCATGCATTCAAGGGTGAACACAGACTGTCTCCTAGACATCTTGCACAAACAGAGATACATGGTCCGCATGTTCAACTACATTGTGTTTCATGCCGAGGGGAGGGCTTGATGAGTATTGGAACGACGACTTCTTCATGTTGTACAATGACCTCGAAGAAAGGTTTGGGCCAAACGGGCTTTGTACAACAGAATGGGAGAAGTTACAAAGCAACAAAGTGAAGATGTCCCTCGACTAATTGTCATAGTGGAGGAGACGAGACAAGGAGCGGGCTTGGGACCTACAGAAACAATATACAAGGAAGCTTCATTTCACTTTAAGGTCTTCATGTACACAATCCTTGATAAACTTGATATGCTTCGACTAGGGTGGAAGGAAATTGCCTCCAGCGCCTGACATCTTGTCTGAGACAAAATCAATAGACATACGACATAATTGACATTGCTTACGATATGCATGCGGCCAAAGAAAGTATTTGCAACGCCCGACAAACCTTGTCGCTTTCCAACGGGAAATGGCATGCAAGGCTTCCATCGTAGACATCTCATCCATGAATTTAAGCACTGCATGAACCTCGGAGGGCTTCGATGCACTGCACAAAATGATAACCAAGTATTATGGTTAAAATTGGATCCTCTTCTTTTTTGCACTGCAGAAGCTGCAAAGCGATTTCTTGCATCACGTATTTCATTGGGAGGACGCTGAAGTCACCCCCAGGACCTGAAAACGATTGGACAAACCCTCCAATGAGGTGATAAAGTACGGTAACATCGCAACGACAACGTGAGACATGATGGTCATTGTCATGCATGCGGATAGAGGAGATCTAAATGAAGTCATTGTCGCACCACGAGTTAACAAGGACCTTGCAAAAGTGCATGTTGTGAAAGAGAAGTTTGAAAAGTGTCTCGGGAAATACCGTGGCATGAACAGGTGATCCTCACTCAGATTCTGTTTTTTGCCTACGAATTCCCGCGGCCGCGAAGTCGAACTTGGTCGCGGTCCGGCCCTTTTAAAAAAAAAATTAAAAAGAAGCTTTTTGGGTTGGATGTGTTTTTTTGTGGAAAAAAAAATAATAAAAAAATATTGATTGATTGATTTTTTTTTTATTGATTGATTGATTAATTTATTGATTTATTGATTGATTGATTGATTGATTGATTGATTGATTGATTGATTGATTGATTGATTAATTGATTGATTGATTGATTGATTGATAGATTGGTGGGAGAGGGGTCCTCTTTCCCCTCCCCTTGGCACACGCACACACACACACACACACACACATACACATACACACACACACACACACATACACACACACACACACACACACACAT